TATTAGCGAAATTCGTCTAATGCAGTCTGATTCTTTTTCGTTTAAGTAGTGCACATGGTTTAGCAGTACAACCTTGACGTTTAGATGCCCCACCGGGTACAGCAAGGGAGACTTCTGTGGACATGTGAAGTCCAAAAAACTTCGAATTTAATCACCGGAGGTTGACTTCTGACTCTGAGATCCGCTCCGTTGGTTTAGCAGAGGTGTTCAAATGACATTTCAGTTTCACTCAGTATATCCCCAATTTTAACTTATTTAAATCACTTTGACTTTCATGTTATTCAGTCCAGTCGTTTTTACCATGCAAGCAATGCAACCTAATCTTCGGATGTGGATTATTCGTCGTCAGTAGCAGTCAAGACGAGATCGCGGACACATCTTCTACATAGCGTTTTCTTGTTCAATTTTTACAACATCTGTTCTTTGATAAGTACTGGACTGAGTGAATTTCTCATTGGTATTCCTTCAATCGGTCCTTTTAGATCTTAATTAAGCGGTGATTTGAATACTTATACATAATTTAAGCAGATGATCGACGAGTTTCAGATGCATTAGCACAAATGACGCCTGTTGCTTCATCGTGTGGCTCATTATTAAGTATTTATTTTACATCTAAAGAGATCATGCTTTTACCGGAACTGTTTTGTCCTTCACTTTTTTAGAAAGTCAAAAAGTGATATCTAATGAACAAATCACAATTCTCTGTCAAGTTGGCCTTAATTCCTGCAGAAACCGCTAGATCGGCCTGTGGTGACGATAGGGTATGGAATCCACAAGTAGATGATAACTACAAAAATATACCCTAAAATTCAGCGTGACTGTAGGCATCACTTATTATTCACTGTTCCCACTGTTTGAAATTTTCTTCCCTCCACGAGTAAATGTTAACTTACCAGTGGCGCTCTATTCAAAGTTCACTATTTTTTGTCATTTTTTTTAGTTATCGTGCCCACTTTCTTTGCCAAATGTCGGCGTACAGTAAGACTTTCGATAGTAATTTGACCTATTTTCTGCGTCTTTGCCCTCCCCGTCCTCCGTGTTGCCGCAGCCCTAAAACCCCCTCTACCACCATTTAACGTATGACACGATCCACAGGCTAGCACAAGTTGTTCGGGGGTCCTACACCCTATCGTTGCCAGCTAATGTTGAGAGACATTCAAAACCGACTGAATTGTTCTTAATGGTATGCCCTTTATGGGATCTTATGACGATCCACGTAGTCTGAAAATATATGTACCTCTGGGTTGTAGGGAATAAGGCGGTTCTACCATCAATCAATTTTTGACCATTTTCCAGACAGAGCCTTCCAGCGCCTTGGTTTAATCCTTCCCTGGTGTTTTCAGATGGCATTTACTCGGACTCATTTTTGTTGCATAGCCCATCTGCCCAGGGATGACAACCTTATGACCTTTGTCGGGCTTAATGACAATTACTATTTGTCTGCGATGATTCGATGCTAATAAGGTGTACTTATTTTTTTAGTTGGTGCTGATGTTTGGGTTTTTGGACTTCTACGGCACTGATTAGAAATTTCCGCAAATACCGTTTCCAGCCGGTTCACGTTATATAATTGCAATTTCCTGTCCTTGAAGTAGACTACAGAGATAAGTGGGTGTAACTTACTATGAAGCATACAAACGTGCAGTTATAGTGGTAAAGTCCCCACTTGAGGAGTCGCTTGTCTCGGGTCCAGTATTAGATGTCATCCGTGGGTTTCTTTCTTACATACTTTCTTAATTCAAAACAAGATAACTCTCTAGTTCTCGTTTGTGTGAAAATCATGCGATGCATGAATTATAAGCAACAAAAGAAGTGAGTTTTTCAGTTTTGATGATGTTAGGAGTATAAAGCAGGAAATATGGACTTTTTTCCCGCAAAAGCGGAAAATAATTCACAATTATTCCACGAACGGTTCAACAAATTAAAGAAAAAGAAGCTATTTTGGCTTCCAGACAGAAGCTCTCTCAATCTTAGCGCAGCAATGCTGACAGCACTTCCACGACTGAAATCAAATTAGGAGCACAAAAAGGTCAAACAAATGGCTAACGAATGTTGTTGTTCTAGAACACATACGTGCAATTTCCTGTATTTGAACTAGACTTCAGTGGTAAGTGGGTCTAACTTACTATTAGGCACACAAACGTGTAGTTGTAGTTATAGAGCCCCCACTTTTTTAAATCATAGACATATAGAGGTGTTGTTTGTCTCAGATCAAGTGGTAAAAGTTATCCGTAGGTATCTTGCTCAAATTCATGTGTTGCATGAATTGCAAGTAGCAAAAGACCTGAGTCTTATAGTTCTGATGTAAGGAGTTTAAAGCAGAAAATGCCAACTTTTTCCGCAAAAGCAACACAGAATTCGCAATTATTTTGCGAACGGTTGAGCAAACTGAAGAAAAGAAAACCTTTTTTAGCTTTCATGCAGAGGGTCGGCTAATCGTAGTGCCGAAATAGTGACCGTGTTTCCACGACGCAAAGGAAATAAGTGCCACGCATGAGATCTTGAACTGATTAAACGATTAAACTAAAAATTAGACTTCTCAGGTATCTTCTCTTGTAATTGATTTTGGTTAGGTATGCGCGAGTGAGATGTACACATCGTGCTGGCGTTTTTTCTGACGTGCCCGAGAATTCCCACAAGTAGGCGAGATTAACATCTTTTATGTGCTTTGTTGACGCAAGTTCACACTGCTCATCGTCATTGCGGAGCTGACTCCTTCTACGCCTTTAAGCAGTCATCTAGTGGACTTGCACGTTTCCATGCCTGATTATAATTAATGAGACATTCTACCTGCAAGTTGTTTGCCTGAGAGGATTCATTGAGGATTAGGGGATTGGTTCTACTATTCGGTAAATCCTGTTATCTTGATACTTAGAGGATTACATTAGCTGCCACCTCAGACCGCCTCAGTGTGCATCAACTCATTCAGATGCTCCTGTGGAGCAGGTTACATTGGTCGGCGCCTTTCCAAAGGAATACGAGAGCATCTTCCCGCATGACTGGCAAAAGGTGAAACTAGGAGAATAGACAGCGCCATCCTTGCGCTTGCAGTGGATTCAGGGCGTCGTGTAAACCGCGGCGTAACATTCCATGTGATTTATAAGGTCCTTTAGAACTATCCTAAACTACTAAGCCGACGTCTATTGGCGACAGCAGAAGCGGCCGCCATCAGGCTACAGGCTCCGCGCTTACCGCGGTCAAAGGTTGACTAACAACATACAACTTTCTGCGCTCTTCCATTCTCATCTCGCCTGTGTTTTAAAACTGTTATCGATTTCTTCACTCACTGTACCCCGTCCCATATAACTGTACTGGTTGGACGAGAAGTTATCGAAAGCAACGTTAGCTCGCCACCTTTTCTTCTGATTAGGTGATTGGTTCTACTATTCGGTAAATCCTGTTATCTCGAGACTTAGAGGATTACATGTAGCAAGTTATAAAGAGCAAGGTGATAATTATCTGTGCCTAAATCAGGCGTCTAGACCTGGGTGATTTACCTAACAAATCATGAAAAATTAGCTGAGTGCGTGAAATATTATCTCGATCCGGAAGAATCGCTTAAAAGGAATCAAAATATTGAATGATACGTGGTGAGAATTCAGGATATTTCATTCATACCAAAATACTTGATTTTGATTGGGCATCTTTCCGACCACAGTAAAAATCACGTCCTCAAAAATGCCAACTTAGGTTGTGTGACTTTTTTAATGTGCTCTACAAATCCAGACATATTTTCTGGATGACGCGGGCAAAACACCCTTTCATCTGTTTATTTCATGATTAATTAAATTCTCTTCGAAGAGGAGGTGTTTTTACGTTCTAAACAAATTGTAATTGGGAGATTTTTAAGACCATATAATGTGGCTTCGTATCTATACTTTTGTTAATGCTTTTTGAAGCATACAACGTAGTGCAAGTATATCCGTACTGCCAGATATTACGAGAGCTGGATGGCACCTCCTTAACGTCATTGAAGAGCTATGACTTCCGTAAATAGATACTGCTCCGCGTGTGGCTTGTAAATCTCAAACACAAACGCGGCATTAGTAGAGTAAAACATTATTTTGAGTTTGGAAATTTTCCTAACAGAGCTGAAAGATACCTTTCTTAGAATTGAACATTTGTAGAAGACGTTAGTCTTCAAAATATGCACAGAAAGGACATTTTATGAATATTTCGGGCTTTTTTAAAGTCCTCGTAAATCAATGAGAAATGCTTTTTACTTTGTAACCTTAGTATAAGCGTGATTTTTGCAGTCGGCAGTGAAAGCGAGCATTCAAGAACCAGCAAGCTGGGATCATATTGCATTCCAATTAGTATTGCGACTCAATCTACATAACCATTTCTAAACGAAGCCATGCCTCGGGACTTCGGTTAGTGCTTTACGACGGACGTCCCCTACTGTATTTGCCGCTTTGGAAGGCCAAACGTAAGACCGAATTAGAGGGCTTTCATTTACAGACTGGTCAGATCGGTTGGACGAGGGAATATGAGCGTCCGTATTCCAGGTGGCCTTGCCCTAAGTTACAGGGAGATGCACTTTAGTGTTAAGAGGTAGGTTAGAGTTAAAGTTATAATTAGAAATGTCAGCATCGTGATTGCGGAGTTAGTTGTAGGGTTAGGATTAGAGCCAAATGTAGGAAACAGGAAGGGTGCCTCCCGGGAATTTTGTAGAACAGGGGGCAAATATTTCCGTGCTTGGCTGTCATTTTAAATCCAGAAATAGCGAGTGTGCAGTCGTTTGTATTTGAAGGAAAGGGTCCCACTAAAGGAAGCTTGAGAAACGAATTTGTCAATTAAATGTTAAAGGAGCCCTGAGGCGCGCTGTAGTGAGCTGTATGTTATCCTTCCCAAATAAAATGGAAGATAATGTTGCATAACTATAAAACATTCCACGGCTACTTCTAGCGAATGTCTACCCAGTACAACCAGCACATTCGCGTGGGAAACAAGAAAATAAATCGCTCAGTCTCCAAATTTTTACTTAATTTCCCTGCATTATGAACATCTGGTACGGTGCCAGCCACCTCGTTCTACTGTAAGTGATAAACCCATTAGTTGGACACAGTAAGGAGGCTATACGGGAAACGAAGTTAGAAGTATCCCAACAGTTACAAACTAGTAAATAAGAACAAAGTCGTCAGCAGCTAAAAATGCACGTGCTAGTTCTTCGTCTTATTCAAAGTTGTGTCAAGTTATTTAACAAGTGTATTAAAACTGATTAAAACAAAACGGACTTAAATGTCACTACACTACTTTGGGTTAGGATTGCACACAGACCAGAGGTAAGGCTGTTAGATGATTTACATCAACAGCAGGAAACGTCTGGAGTCGTCTACTCGATCTAGTGCAGCTGTGGACAAATTAACTACGTCGAAGAAACGGAAGACTGCATCTGACGCGGATGACCGAACACGCAGCATCAGTGGGGGAAATGACGTCAGCTCCAATTTTAACCGTCATTCGATGAGACTCGGCCACACCTTCAACACCGACGAGGCTGGCGTCTTCGCGAGAGTCTGCAACCGCGGGAGGCGTGAGTTGTTTGGGTCATGGTTCTTCGACCCCCCAGTCTACTTACAAGCGCAATGACCTCTACCACAAAATGTAGTTTCAGAATGCGGTCCGATTTTAGTTGGTGGACACGTGGGGAGCACGTGGGACGAACAGCACTTCCAGTGACAACATCAAAGAACCGAATGGCCTAGTGATTATCACGCCCATAATTAAAGCCGGTGACGAGGTAGCAGAGATGGACGACTCGGATGCGGGTGAGTGAGTGACTTTCGCGCAATAATTCGTGAACTACCAATCACAGTAGCTATCCGGCGACATGAAAGCTGCATTCGGTTAATACTGCACTTCTTTTGTGTCCATTCTTCTTATCCGTTGCTGTCTCTGATGGTAGGTTCGAGTGAGAATCCGAAATATCAGGTGCAGAAAGCTATTGTTTCAGAGGTCGTACCTTCCTCTGGTCAATACGTTTTTCCACTGAATATCTTCATATTGTTGCCTTCAGAAACTAGCTGATGAGTGCGCGTTTGCTTTCGATAAATTCTCGTCAAAATTCTCTTACTTTCATAAGGGAACACATCAGTGTTTGGGTAAGTGGACTAAAGCAAGAGAACACTGCAAGTGAACTCATAAGAAGACGCCTTGGCCAGGCTATCTCACGAATCTTCCCACAAGCAAGTGCGCGGAGAATTATCTGTTTCAATCAAAAAGTTTTAACGGCAAAAGCAAGGAAAATAAAAAATGCACTTTTTGACTTCATCAACATTTAAATTTTGTGAAGATTCTCATGCCCTAATCGAAAAGTCAGTTGGCAAACATATATTTTCTGTTTAAAAAAAAACGAAGGCACGATCACTGGGACGGTAGATTTATTAGCCTTAGCTTTCGAAGTCGAACTGATGATTAACTCCAATTCGTGTTCGAAAGTTAAGGCCAATAAATTTCCCGTCCCAGTGATCGTGTCTTAGTCTGCTTTTAAACAGGAATCTGGGATTCGCATATTCTCTTTCATATCGTTTAGGCAATTTTTCATCAAGCCACAACAATTACATAGAGAACGAACTTATGAGCTATGGACGCAAAACCCTGTCCACACCTCATAAGTGCATCCTCCGTGTAATTGTAGTGACCTGATGGTGAATTACCGAAAACATCTGTTTCCCGATTGACTTTCTAATCGCCATCGTCAACCCGCCGTACTTTAACCCTACTTCTAGGGTAGCTTCTTGAGAACAGACGTACGTAGGAGGCTTCTTTGCATAAAAACAACAGTAGCTCCATGGTCTTTGTACGTCATCAGGGAGCTCACAGAACATCTGTTCAAACTGCTCGCAGCAGCCCCGCTCCTTTGTTTATTCGAGCACCAGACAAATAAACGCGCAAGGTTCCAATAACTAGGCCCTTTTCCACGTACAATGACGTACTTCTAGTCGTTGCATGTGACATTTGTACACTGAACATAATCGGCTCTTTTTAGTTAAATGTCAATACTGGTGGAAATGCCACCCACTCCCTCCTAAGAGTATTTTTTTGTCTTTTTCTTCCATTCTAAATGATAGCAAGTTGATTACAGCAGTACCAAACTCCGTGCAGAAAGATGCAAAATGCACTTTTCAAAAATGCAGGCCATATACAGCAGAAGATGGCGCTGTCTTTGAACCTTCCAGCTCATCAATAAGACCGTCACGCTTTAGAGAGTGAGAGAGAGAGAGAGAGAGAGAGAGAGAGAGAGCAAGTGAGGTAAACCCACGGGCCTGCGATTCATTTCTCAATGCAGCTCTTCCGAAACTGTATCGTTCGCAAATGGCGTAACGGAAATCTCGTTCACGAAAAATGCACTTGTCTGTTTGAAGTCCATATTTTTTTCTCCGTTCTGATTGGCACTGAGGACCAAATAAGGCGTAGAAAAGGAATAGTCAAAATAAGTGTCGAATCTCATAAAATATTAACCGTGGTTCCGAAGTACGTTTGTTAATTACTTAGGTTGGGCCGTTATACTGGTTATCATGCAGCATAATCCCAAAATGTATTCTGGCATCTGAATGCTCTTCTTTCCGGCAGACCGCAAAGGCCGCATTCGACGAAAATAACTACCAAAATAGTACATACTTTTAATCCCCTGATTTCCCATTTCCTTACAAATCTGCATATTAACAGGTGTCTTAGCAGATTTGAATGTATCATCTGACTAAATTTAGACGAACTCGGTTGCCTCGATGGGAGTTGAATCAACGACAGCAGGGGATTGGCTTGGGGGTCTCACCAGTAGCCGTAAAAAGGCAACGGGAGCGGAGAAAATTCGATCAAGATGTAACTGAACTTACGGCCCCCGGTGGGGCCTTAAAGTTCAGGTAGTTCAAATGCTGCCTATGCTCAAGCCTATGCCTATGCTCCTCCTCCTCCTCCTCCTCCTCCTCCTCCTCCTCCTCCACCACCACCACCCCTGCCCCAACGGCGGCCGCTCAGGCAGCCGTCTCGCACATCTCCGACCGCGACACAACAACCGGCACCACCCCCGCCTCTCCTGACTCCAGCAATGAGAATCAGGACTACACCTGTCCTCACTGCGACCGCACCTTTACCTCACACATCGGCCTGGTCGGTCACTTGCGAATCCATCGTACAGAGACCGGCGATCCAGTGCCTGAAGCACCAACCTACACCAACCTACACCCACCGCACTCGCCTCCACTGCCCACAGTGCCATTGCACCTTCACGCATCGCATGGGTCTATTCGGCCACATGCGCATCCACGAGAGCGGAATCGACCACAATTCCGACACACCAACCACGCTCATCATGCCCAGCACCACCCTCGCACCGTCCATCTGCGCCACCACCAACGCCTCCTCTGTAGCTGATTCTGACACCGCCGACTTCACGTGCCCACACTGTCCACGCACACTCACCTCACGCATCGGCCTGGTCGGTCACTTGCGAATCCATCGCACAGAGACCGGAGAACCAGTGCCTGGAGCACCAACCTACACCCACCAAGCTCGTCTCAACTGTTCACACTGTCCTCGCACTTTCAGGCACCGCATGGGCCTATTCGGCCACATGCGCATCCACGACGACCTGCGGTAGACAACCGCCGGTTACACCACACATCCACACACTCCCTACCCTCCTCCACCATCACCAACACACATCAACACTTACCCACCGCATGCACCAACTGCCACCTTCCACGCAAGTGGGAAGTGTGCATCTCGTTTCGGTTCCCACGCGGCTTCGGCTGTACGGGTGATTTGAGTCCGAGACTATCCCGACACTTCAAGTGTCGTGGATAGGAAGGTTGCTGATTAATGCCTGCTCTCGGTTCACGCAGTTCGTCGCGTTGTGCGTGTGTGTGCTGTGTGGAGTGGCGGACTGGTGGGCTGGGAACGGGCTGAAGCAGCACCTTCCACGGCCCTCTCACGCAAGTGAGAGACACGCCGTTTAACCCCCGTTGTGTGAAATCCTGGTGTTGTGTGTATGGGGGGCCAGGTCGTGCTGTGGTGCGCGCAGTCACGGTCAGTCGACCGTGGCAGCCACCGCGCCCAACCACCACTCCAGTTTGCCGACCGGCTCGGACGGCGGCTGGAGTGTGGGAATGGGAAGGGAGAGTGAGGTCGACGACTCAGCGCACTTTTTCCTCACTATAATCAATCTGACGCGCTTGAAGCTATCACGGTGCGCTAAAAGCCGTGGCTTGGAAGGTTGCCAACTGACGGGGTACCTTGGACCTCCTCCTTAACGGCAGGCGGTCTGAGAGTCAGGCTGCAATGGCTCCTTTTTAATGTGACCTTTATGGCACTCCCACCACAGTGTGGGATCCGAGCCAGGCGTTGGCGGCACGCCTAGGTGCGGCTTCGGCCGTGCCAGCCTCCAAATCTCTGTTGTGTTGGTTGAAATCCTGGTTATTGTTGTGTGGACCAGGGGGTGTGGTGGAACGCTAAGGTGAGGATCCGTCCGAGCCATCCACCTGCGGCCTCCCTCGTCTCCGGTCTTCTTGAATCTGTCTTGACACCGGGCTCGGGCGAGGGAGGTGGAGAGAGTGTAGGTAGATGCAGCGCAAGTCTACTGGCACTATAAACCCCTGCGCAAGTCACCGTCCCTGCTCCAACCTGCTGTGGGGCACACGGTGGACATCATCGAAATCGATGTTCGAACTGTCATGCTCAAGCCATATCCTTGCTTTCGTGAGTTAAAATCCCTTCAAGGCAGCCGAGTTTTTTCACAATTGGCTAAATGAAGTCCAGATATATCTTAAGGAAAACATACGTAAAAATACCCAGTTTGTACACTTTTTGGAGTGGATAACGTCCTTTTTTCAATTTTTTGTCTGAAGGAATAGTCTTTTATATTAACGAAAAGATTTTTCAATTTCCAAGTAGTTTTGAATCCAACCTGACGTTTGACTTTTATTTGGGGTTCCTATACTGCAAACTGAATACCTTTCATATAAGAACAATAACGTATTTCAGAATGTTTTAAGGAGGTACAGTTAGTGACCTATATTTAAAAATATGCCTAAATTAACGAAGAATCACTGAACAAACTGAAATCAGTTCGACCGCATTCACCAAAATACCAAACTGATAATAATGTTTTTAACTAAATGAAAACGCATTATAAGTATTACAAGTACAATTGCGCTGATTAGAACGAAAGATTTTCGTAAGAAAGTTGGGCAAAGGTAGAAAATTTTTGTACGTAAACTCAAATAAATTTAGGGCTAGATCTCAGTTGGTAGTCAGGAATGGGAAAGCAAACGGCGACCTTACCCCTAATCCTAACCCTAACCCTAACCCTAACCTCAACCTTGAACGTTAACCGTTAACCCTAACGGCAACCCTAACAATAACACTAACTGAAGTCGTAAACGTAACCATAGCCCTTAGACATAGCCGTAACTGAAGAACCTAACCGTAATTCTAAAACCTAATCGTACGCTCAAACTCTAACCATAATTCAAAAGCCTAAGCCTAAAGGCATAACCCTAACCCGAAAATCGGCAACCATTAACCAGTGCCCTAATCCTAACCTAAAATGTAAAACGGATGCCAAATGGGTCAGATGTGATTGTTGAACCCCACAAAATAGCCCAGTAAACAAACCCCCCGCTACGTGTAATACGGGGCATGGCTACCAACTGCGAACTAACCAAATTTAGCTATCTTATAATTATTTATGCGAGGAACCAGACACAATTTTTTTGACTAAATAAATAAGTTACGGCATACGCGTTTGACAACAGAAACCGTGCGTTTTTTTCTAACCGAGGCAAAGCAAACCAACATGCAACCGGTGGTTCTTACATCACGCGTTAGATGGTAAGTACCGGCATGGCACCTGTGCTGTTAGTATGGTGTCACCTTACCCTAGATTATACTACTAGCTGCCTGTAGGCAGTTAATGAATATTACGCGGTTACCCGCTGTGGCTGATGGACTTTGGCCCAAATATTCATGTATGAAATTCTCGGTCTGTGCCTATAGACCTTGAATATACTGATCTACTCCTACTTCGCACAAAATTTCTCCGGAAATTAAAAAGTGACAACAAAAAGGCTTAATCCCCCGCCTGCAGAAAACAGGTTATTCACGGCGCACAGAATCGACAACGCAGGGCAAAGCAAGTGCATTGGGAAAACTAGGAAATCAAGGTAAGACACGTCGGATCACGGAGAGGAGTGAACAAAAACCGGAATAAAATAACTCAGCACCACGCAAGTCACATTAAGACAACTTGGGGCCTGAGGTGATTTCAATGGGAGACTTCCTGCAGCTAAAAATTGATGAATTAACTTAGGCCTACTTAAACAAATGTAGTGGTAAGTTAGACACATTAAACCCAGTGGGGTTACGCAACCTATCCTTGTCGAAAATCGGAAATATCGAAAACGCAGAAATGCGTGTCACATGAAAAGGCTCAAATTTTAGTGGTAAATACTGCTTGTCCATGCAAACAACTAACTGCATAAAACGGCATAAGCAGAGTAACGTCCAATAAATTGCTTTTACGCATGATTTCAGTTAGTATCCTCCATGAACTAGTGCTATTGCCGATACAAGCGAAGACGCAAGCTGCAAAAACTAGTTGATAAGAAGCAAAAACGATCGTTGGAATAAAAGCTTTATTGGCCTGACGAGAATCCGAAACGTCCGGCCAATAAAGCTCTTGTTCCAACGATTGCATCTTCTTCTTATCAATTTGTATTATATGAAGTCTGGCGCAGAATCAGCTACGTATAGTCCGGTCTTATGTAACAAGATAATGCTGTGCAAAATCGACGTTATTTTCCGTTTTTATATTGCTCGGGATGTGTTCGATTAGAGCAAAAAGTATTTTGCTTAATGTCACTGATAATGAAATCACGGGATAAGAGTTTTCATAAAGTCGCATAATTACAGGCCTGTACGTCATTATAAGATCTGAATACAATTAACAAATGCAATCGTAAGCATATCTTTGTGTGTGTATATGAAAAGAACTTTTCTCCCCTCAAGCGTGTTTGCTTTTTTGCAGACCATGGAGTCCGTTGAGTTTCACTGGGTACTTTAAATGACAGTGAATACATTAATATTTTCAGTGCTTTCAATCGACTGTCGATAAAGACAGGTTCTATGCTGTGTTTTCATCAAAACCTTCAAAATAAGCTATTTCTTGAAAGCATTTATCAAAGTAGTGAGCGTTATGCGAATGAGAAAAATGTGTAACGTCGTGGGTGCTCAAAAGTTGTCCTATCAGTTTACATCATCGCATTTTATGGGTTAGGTTGCATTCTGCAGAGTATAGAATCCATGAAATTCTGGGATAGATGTCGACTCTGTCATATACTTCACAAGCTGCGTTATTACACCAATAGATACGATCCTACTTGAATTGACCCCTAATTTGGACAAGGCTCAAAGAACAGCCTGCTTTAGGCTAGAGAACGAGACCATCTGCTGTCCACAGCTTCTCTCTGTGTGATTTGTACTCACGTTCAGGATGCTCTAATCGGTCAACCGGAAGAGCTCGCGAGAGTAGGGCAAGCCACACGCCAAGACCTAAAAAAACAACTGTACTGTTACGTCCACCTCATCGGGGCCCGAAGGGACTGTGAGATTAGTCTGGGCACCTGTCTCTAAATTAATCTACACCGTTTAGCTCCAGGCGAACGACAGTAGGCGTGGTCGTGTCGTCAGGCCGCTGGTTGTCTTGCTTAGGACTGAAATACCGAGGAGAAGGAGGAGTAGGAGGAGGAGGAGGAGGAGGAGAAGGAGGAGGAGAAGGAGGAGGAGAAGGAGGAGGAGAAGGAGGAGGAGGAGGAGGAGGAGGAGGAGGATTATGAAGACGAATATACTGATGACGATGGCGACAACGATGAGGACGAAGAGAAATATTGAAACAACAGGATTTGTTAAGAATGAAGATCAAGTGGAAGGGAAGGCAGTTACCGTCCATGCGAAAATCGGTTCCTTTAAGCCGGCACTTTCGGGCACATACTCGCGTCGTTTCACCTTGAATGGGGCATTTTTCAAATTTACCACCTATTGTAATTGAGTTTTTCATTGACCTCTCCACATTGGGGGTGGTTGCGTAGGTTTAGTGTGCGGATGCTTTGGTCCACCCGTCTGTGTACCAGGGCTCCTATTGTTCATGGGCATTGAGCGTCAGCCCTTGACAGACGTGCTGCACCTAGTCTGACTCATGAAATTTCATGAGTTTCCCCATGAAAGCCCTGTAACGTAAAATACGCCCACCTGCGTCCTCCAAAGTTTTACAGCAGTAAAGAAATGATCGCTCATAAATAGATGGCTGAGCTTGCTTGCTAAATTAATATTTACTAACTTTGGAGCAATTATTTTCCAGTGAAAACTAGAGTTTCAGAAGACGGCTATATTACGAATTACTGAATTAAAGCTAGATAAAAGATGGCTCAAAGGGCTCCTATTTTTCCTTCATAAAACAGATTTGAAATCATTACCCCTCCTCTTTAAAGAGATTTCTGCGCTTCAAGTCAGTCGAACAAACAAAAGTGCCATAGCACCCAGTCAAATTTCGGTCTCGTCATTTCATGAGATTCGCCACCCAATTAAAACTGAAACGCGACAGTTGCTTTCCGCGCTTCACATCAAGGTGGAAATTCACCAACTGTTACACCACTATTCTTGAACTAGCGATTACAACATACAGAGCGGTATAAGACAAATGACAGTTCAGCACACGTTCACTTATTTTTAATCTGTCTTGGCAGTATACTGTGGAGTTGGATAGGCGCACGAAGCTTACAGTGGAGTCATCTGAGAGGCGCGCCAACACGTCGCTGTAGGCCTCGTGTTCGGGGCTCATTAAAAGGCGTCGTCTGATGAAGGTCCTAGGATAGCCGCTCTTCTCGAAATGAACAGAAAGACACTGACATTCCCTTGGATTTGGCTTGGGAAGCCCTGAAGTGTCTTTCTAATGGACCATAACTCAAACACCAAACCGTTAGCAACTATCCACGAAAAGGGTAGGTCAATGACCGACTGGAGGGTTAGAGATAAGTAAACAGTAACCTTCTGAAACTTAAAAAGCTCCCTCGTTTGAATGCTGAAATTCCCCTCCACACACACACGATAAGGTTCATTTGGACTCCGTAAGCCGGCCATCTGACGGTTTTCCAAGCCGCAGCTGTTAGCGCATCATGATAGATCGTGATATGTTTACTATAAAAGTTGATGTGCTCCTAAAACGGGCCACGCGGTAGATACGTTGGACCAACACGGGGAGCTACATCGGGTTCTGGCAGGCCTTATTGGGAGTGTGCCAACATTCGGGGTGTGGCGGCAGGACAAGTTGTAGGCTTACAAGTCCGACCATAGTATGATCAACCCGGAGGAAACGGTTAATCGTTCTTGTCAAAGATGCAGTTCAGTAAATCCTTCACTTCTTGCCTTCTCACTCAAGCTACTTCTTAGCACATTCATCTGCTTCTTGATCAGCACCATCTCTACTAATCGCTCCTAATTCTCTCGTAAGTCAACTTCTACCGCCTGAGTGTCTGTCTTAAGTGCTCAGAACGACAGCTTCGTTACTTCGGGGTAGTGCTCTAGTTTTCGAGTCATGCCGTCAGAAAAACGTGATTTAGAAACCGAATTTGACCTTACGCTTGATGGAGGGTACCTTATTTCCACTTGGTAGACCACTGCCTTCTTTTCGACCTGCTGGGCTTTTGCAACCTGACTCGTTTACCAATCTCACAGAGCAGTTGTAATTTCACTCAATTCTTTGTTTGGCATAGCGGTTACTAACTAATGACCTCTTATTTATCCTGCCAGGTGTTCTCATGGGAATCGCCTAAACTCGGTTGGCCTTCCGTCCCTTAATTCTTGTGATTGTCTGTCCACCCCCACACGCCTCTATCTCCCTTCAAGTTTCCCTCCTTGCCACGTTAATTACCAACAAGCTAATCCCACAATACACTGGCATCAGAAAACTGCGTCTCCTGGTCGTTCAGATTTACCTGTCAGCCGTTTATTGCTGACTATCCGTTTGCCATTACTTTTGGATCCCTTGGTACTTATTCCTTAAATAATGCGGCTTCAGTTTTGTTATCCATCTCCAAACGTTTTCTTAAATGACGCTGACCACAGCAATACTACTCTAAATACATTAACTATTGCATTACTGGATTTTAGGTCTGGTATAAACAAGATTATTCAGGTTATATCTGTCGTTTTCTGGATGACGCCCGATATTTTATACTTAGGCGAATACTGGGCCCATCCTTTAGTCCCTAACTCTTTCCTTCGTGTAAAGGATTGTGATTTCCACCGTAAAAATTGCATAAGAATGTGTGGTGTTGGTTGCCTTCTTTATCTTAGACCTTCCTTAAGGCGCTTTCCCTACGATCTGAATTCCCTTTCATTCGCCGGAAATTTTGTTTCGAATCTACCCTTTTCTCGCCGCAAAGAAAGTCTATTCTTGGGTGAATCTGCAAACCTTCAAAATAATCATTCACTGATGCACAAATTTTCCATATCTTTAAACCAGCTTCGGAACCCGCCTCTGGCGTTAAGAAGATAGCTAGAGATTTCAACCTCCCCGAAACAGATTACTTTTCCAACTTCAGTCCGCCTGAATTCCGGCTTTTCCATGATGTTATTTATTTTCCCAACTGGTCTCAGTTGGACTGCACATCAGCAAGAGGCGATCACATTTTAGATCTGGTTTTACCATTCAGATCGCTCCACTTTTTGAAGGTGACCATGTACTAATTCGCTCTTACTATCCGTTTGCATTTTTCGAAAAGACCGACACAGTTTGAACTTACGTAAATTTTGGTCCCGTATAAAACCGCCTTATCATCAACTTCGTTGAATTACTGGACTGACACGGCTTAAGCTCCTTTAATGGTGCAGCATTCTTTTGTCGCAGAAGTCTCAAGTGCGACTCTTCCGATTCCACCGTTCCTCATTTCCCTTCTCATAGTTCAAAGAAGTTTGGAAGACAGCTGTGAGACGTGTCAACTAGAGCTTTACTCATCCATAAAAGAGCCACGGGAATCTCTAAATCAGCTTGAAAGATGCATCATGCCAGCAAACAACGCTACAATCATTGACGTCTAGGAACATGAACCCTACCAAGTCCATTGCATATATCCTCCGTTGTCGGTTCACTTCTAATTTCGGTTATAATATTCTTCCTTTTCTATATGTAGACAAAAGCTTCCTCGTGGATGCCACTCACACAACGAAACTGTTTGGTGCCTTCTTTGCAAAACATCTTTCTACTGAGTCTAAACAGGTTTATTCTTTCTTCTGCGTTCAGATAGAGTTTTCAGTACCATTGATGGCTCCTCTGAGCTGATTCAGAAACAAGCAGGTTGTATAAATATTCGCACTCCTCCAGAAGCTGGCATACTTTTCCTGGTTGCTCAGTTAGTTTGTCTTTTGATTGGATTCTTCCATGAAACATGGGAAACATCTGTTATCCTTCCTGTCTACAAGTGAGGATCTCGGTCCGATGTATCAGAGCGTGTAACAGTCGCTTCAGTCCCCCTTTTCTCCGGCTGTGTTTTGTCGAACAATGGCCGCGACAGCTGTTGACACACAGCCACCCCCACCGGCTAACACTCAGACACCTCCGGTCCAACTTCAGTGACTGTCGGCTGACCTCACAAACTTTCATCACCCCACGCGCGTCTACCGTTTTGGCCTGATACCCGTGAGACATTGTGTACACGCGCCCCTTATTCCTCCCCTAATTTGTCCAATCACACGACCAACACTCAGCCAGTCACCCCTCCTGCTGACCCTGACGCACTCCCGCCTAAACAACACACGCACCGCGACTGACGCTCTCCGCAAACAGCCAACTTACGGCAACCTGTCCTGTGTACAGAATAAACTAGTCCTCACAGCTCCCTGACTTCTGACATCAGACGAAACTAACTTGTTGTGCGTGGTTTAAGTTGACCTCTCATCCTTGACCGCCACAAGCGTACATAAAATTCCGTCTCAAGCAAACTTTCCCGAAAAGAGAGTTTTAAACGAAATTCTTGACTTCTGTTTGACTGATCAGCTTTTAAACTCCACCGAGCATGGATTTCGTCCGAAAGATCTCAATTAGTCCTCCCTAATCCTATTACTTCATTTCATAATGAAGACGCATCCTGTAGTACCTGAAATATCTTAAGATTATGTTGCGCGCGGATTCATGTCACAACCCTACCTAATTAACCTTTACGAGTCGAAGACGCATTTCAGAATTCCGGTTAACATTTCATGAGTTAGAACATCTACTGTGTTTATTTCGATCTTAGCGGAGCCTTCGGCGAGGTCTTGTATGGACGTCTTTTAGTAAAACTGGAATTTCTCGGCATCCGACCGCCTCTACTGGACTTCCTTGAGTCCCACTTACCCAAACGCTGCCAGACGGTCATGGTTGGTAATTGCTGCCCGACGTCTTACCAGATCACGAATGGCGTACGGTTCTGTGTCCCCCGCTCTTCCTCTTTCACATTAACGACATTTCAGCAAGAGTAAGAATTTCGAAAACGTTTAATTAGGCTGATCACCTAAAGTGCGTTTGTTCCTTTTCTGAGGACAAGGCGATTGTCGGCGTCGGTAAAATCACCTCCGACTTACTTTGTCTAGGGAAATTGAGTTTTACATGGTAGTGTAGTGGCCCTTCTCAGAGCGCCTCTGGCGAATCTTTGTACATGCGCACCAAGGCCGTTTGGCATTCGCCCACTCGGCCTTCCAACTGGCCAATCAGCTGCCAGGCCAAGTCAGAGCTGCCCTGGCTTCAGACGCTTTGAGCAATTCCCTGACACGCTTGGGATGCCGTTCCCCTTGCGCCAGAGGCATTTTCCTCCGGCTGCCAACGCGTTCCTATCCATTCTCAAACTGTTCTGTACAGA